TCAGAGGGCAAACTATTTGGCCTCTGGACACGGCAGAAGATTTCAGAATTATCTACAAGCAGTAAGTGAATGTGGTAAGGGGCAGGAACAGCAATACACTGCACTTTATTAAGGGCTTCCTGGATATCAGCTACCCACTAAGCACTTGTCAGTAATTTCCTTCATTCTTCCCACAACTGCAGGAGGTTGATGGTGTTGTCAATGAAACTCTGGTTTTGAGAAATTAAGTATCTCACCCAAGGTGGCTTGGCTAGTAGGTAGAGTGAGGTTCATTGAGGAGAGACAGAGCTCTTAACCACTCTGTACCCTACTGATGTTGAGGGCTTAAGAAGTCTTTTACCCAAATGTCCAGCTTATTTTTCTAAAATACCATAGGTCCTGTTTTTGACATAAATTCCAATTGTGACAAAAATAAGGATTTGTTTAATTTTGTTTGCAGATTTTTTAATCTACAGATTTGACTTTAGTGTTTTTAAAATATGTAGAATGTTCAGGTAATTTTCATCAACTTCAGAATCTTTTCTATAGTTACTGAAGGTAGAACTTGCATAATAAACATTAATTTTGAATTGTACAAGTAGAAAATTTCCTTGTTAGTCAAGGAGTCAAACATTTTTTTTATGTGTGTGTGTGTGAGCATAGTTTGAAAATAAGCCTGACTTTCTTAAGTGTTTCCGGTTTCTAGTTGAATATCCCCCTTTGTGTACATTAAATTAGTGAGTGAAGGCTTTAAAATGTGGACAAAGTTATTATTTGCTTTTATTAAAAAATAAGAAAAACAAAATTAATTCCTCTGAGGATAGTACTATTTGATTTGATTGCCACAGCATCCCTGATGACTAATCTGATGGAAACTAATTATTATGGTTCAAAAACAAATTTGTATTCATTCCCTTGTCAGATGTTAAGGACTCGATTATGATTTTAAGATAATGAGATGAATTGTGTAGGATCATTATTAGTAAGTCATCTTGGATCAAAATACCATACGAGTAGAGTAGATGGTTGACTGTTTTTCTAAGA